TGTCTATCTGTCTGTCTGTGTGTGTGTCTGTGTATCGGACCATACGCAGTTTAATTGGACGAAATGTGAGGGATTTGCGAGACACGATTGGTCCGGCGGTTGCCCCTGGCAACGGGTAGCGACGCATTCGCCGCGGGGTGGACGCCATTTTTAATTCCCGTTAAAAATAGGAGCACGCATTAACACGCGACTCTGAGGTAAATTCATCAAAGTTTCACGTCCTCTTCACTCCCCCCCCACCACAATGTGTGCAATTACTATTATTGGGTCGGTAGATTATAAAATTATAGCGATTAGACAGTATTATTGTAGCGCGGGGGGGGGGGGGGGGAAACGGCACCCGTACCCAGCCTCAGCCGGGTGGGCAATTTAGGCGAGGCCGGAGGCTCTGCACGGTACTAGGCCTCGACACCCACCACGCGACTCTGAGGTAAATTCATCAAACTTTCACGTCCTCTTCACTCCCCCGCCACCCCAATGTGTGCAATTACTATTATTGGGTCGGTAGATAATAAAATTATAGCGATTACACAGTATTATTGTAGCGCGGGGGGGGGGGTAATGGCCCCGGTACCCAGCCTCAGCCGGGTGGGCAATTTAGGCGAGGCCGGAGGCTCTGCACGCTACTAGGCCTCGACACCCCACCAGACTATAGGCCGTACATACTACTGCACAGCGGCCGAGGAGATCGTGGCTGGGGGGGGGGCAGGGGTAGCAACCCATCTGTGTATATATGTAAGGTTATTAAGAAATATATTTTTCACCCGGGCAACGCCGGGTACTTCTGCTAGTATAAATATAAAACAATAAAAATTATCACGATGTTTCGACTGCAACACAAGCAATCATCATCAGGTGTGAAATCTACAGCAAGAAAATAAAAAAGTGGCGGTTTTTCCTAACGTTAGGAAAAACCGCCACTTTTTTCAAATTTTCTTGCATGTGTTGCAGTCGAAACGTCGTGAGAATTTTTATTGTTTGATATTTATATTATTTTACTATTTCCCTTCTACGTGACTTTACCGAAAGAACCAAGAATATAATTGCAGGGTTGTACCTTTTTGTACAAACACAAGCACGGGGTGTTTGGGTTAAGACTTTCAAACTCACTGCACTTGTGAACATGAATTTTATATCAACGGGAGCATATTAACCCAGTGGTACTGGCTCAATGTTCTTATCACGGGCATTGCATCAGTCAATTGCATCAGCCAGCTGAGACACACGACGACCACCTCCTTGGCAAAAAAAAACAGACTCTAATTTCCAGGCAATACAAAAATTGTGCTGAGTGATTATAATCTACAAGCTTATTTTATGTGCGGGTATTGTATTCGTCCTCAATCTCGAAATAATGTCTGCAAATCGAGTTGTCGCCTCACTGTCGTACACTCATTTGCATCAAGAGAAAACGTTCTGCGCGATCTCAAATTGATGACACGCAAAGTGCTCGGGTCTGCACGCTGAATAACCACATCTATATATGCCCCCATTACACGGCGCTTTATTTATATATATATACTTTAGTGTTGCCCATCGCAGCTAATTTCTCCGTCTTCCTCTCCACCCCTGTGAGACTTTGGGTCAAATTTTGCCCTTCCGCCGGTGTGGAGTGTCCACAAACCCCCGTGAGTGGGGAGGCTGATGTGGGGATGGGGATTAATTTTAAAACAGGAGGAGGGGGTCTCAATAGGCTTGCGGCTGGATACCCCTATGGTGGTCAGTGTTCTCCCAGCTGAGACAGTTTACGCCGATGCGAATGGTTTCGTTTCCACAGCTGCGCGGTAAATTTCTGTAGGGAATTGCCAAAGCGCACTGTCTGCTGTATAGAGTGAATGTTTAAAACTACATGACCCCCACCCCCTCCCCCCGTTTTGTAAAACAGAAAGAGAACCAGTGTGTGTTCCTGTTTGATGGCGCAGATCTTTTTTTTAATATATATTTTACTGACAATTACATTGCCAAAAAAAACTGTCCTTACGTAGTAGTGTTTAACTACAGAAATGTAATCGTGATATTTTAACCTAATGAAATAAATTAATAACCGTGTTCGGTCATAATAGTATTAATTTATAGCTCTATGATGTGTTGTCGGGATTAACCGCTGTTGTTTGGAATAATGTGCGAGGAGCTTCTTTAGTTCCGCACAGAAGCGCCCCGCAAATGGAGTTAAACGTCAGACATTGTGCTGAAAGAACACGCAGGAGAAGCCGCTAACACGTCGGAAAGTTGTCCAACACAGCCGCGAAAACATAACACAGTCAAAGTGATCGTTGATGCTTGGTGACAGAGAGAGTTTTATGAAGAAGATGGCCCCAAAATAACCGTCAATAAGGAGGCACAAGTGACTCATGGAAACAGCCCAACTCCTTGTAATTACACATCTTGTATATTACACATCTTTTTAATGCTGCTCCGTTGGCTGTGGTGCACAAGCACAAATACCAAAACAAAAACTGAATACATTCGTGGATTACTTTGTGGCCTTAAAAAAGGATATAGTCGGCGACGTGTCTGGCAATGGTCCTTCTTCAGAGCACAACCATAGAGAGGCCAGAGGGATAGGGTGGATAATAATTGGAGACTGATTTTTACACTTGATTTGAAGCTTTCGTGACTGTAGGAATCCATACTCTTTGGTTATTTTGGTAAAGTCACGTAGGTAGAAATTTTTTTACACCGCGGAGAATGATGAGAATTACATATTAAACCGTTTCCTGATGAACATTTACATATACGTTATACCTATTCTGTAACTATTCTTTTGAGGTGGGTGTTATTGACGAATTTGTTGAGTTTGTTTGTGGTTTACACCATTGGAACCTCATTTGCCAGTAACAAAATATGATAATTGTTTTTTTACCCTTTTATCTGGCAACAAAACTGACACCTTGTTTTACAAGGAGTCATGTTTGCATTAACCACAATACCTGCAGTCAGAAAGCAAACAAAAAACATAACTCTGATAATGTATGCACTGTCCTTGAAATTGATTGGTCCACACCCGAGACAGCTTTCTTTAGAGCCTAGTCTCACATGGTGTTGATGACGCTAAAAAAAGGTGTCAGTTTTGTTGCCAGATAAAAGGATAAAAAAACAATTGTCATATTTTGTTACTGGCAAATGAGGTTCCAATGGTGTAAATGCTTACCCCGAGCTCTCATACTCTGATGGTCCATTGTCCTTGCGTTGTGCGCCTTTTGGCGTCATCTGGTCCAACACCATGTGAGACTAGGCTCTAAGAAAAGCTGTCTCGGGTGTGGACCAATCAATTTCAAGGACAGTGCATATATTATCAGAGTTTGCATTCCGACTGCAGGTATTGTGGTTAATGCAAACATGACTCCTTGTAAAAAAAAGGTGTCAGTTTTGTTGCCAGATAAAAGAGTAAAAAAAACAATTATCATTGTTTGTGGTACTTGTAGATTACAGGTTGGTTGTCACCAACTGGCTTAAACGAAGCAAGTTGTCTTTTCCCATTGCCCCGAAGAAGGCGAAAGGAACAGAACGCGATGTCCCCACGTCATAGAGATATTCACAAATCTGTGGTCCAATCCACGTGTCAAGACTCATTTTACACGTCTGCTCGAGCTGCGGGAAATTGCATTGCAGTTCCCTTGCTCAACCATTTCCGACCACAGCACTTGAGAAAAGGCGCTTTAATGTGGAAACAAATAGCCACCAAACATCCCCTTTGGCGTCGCACGTTACGGCTGCGATTTTTTTGTTGGTCGGAGCACTGGGCTGTGTGATGAGTTTGGAGAGAGGGGTGGGGGTGCGGGCTAAGCTGGCAGGGTGCTCCCCTTAATTAGGATGCGCGCACACGTGAACGAGACCATTAACGGGAGGGGAGACCTCCCATTCTTGCCAGGTTTGTTGCCCGACTGTTTGCGCGCTGCCAAAGTCGATCAAGCCAGTTGATCTGATTGGAGAGAAAATGGCAACAGATATGTTGATAAGCAGCCATATCCGCGTGACGAAAAGTAATTAATGTAAGCGCACTTTTCTGCGTAATTATATTAACGAGCTGTACTGTTTGCGTCCGTCACGCGCCTATCGGTTGAAGGCCGCTGCACCATCTAAATGTAAGCGCACGCTGCTTGTTAATTGTTTAAATGAGATCCATCAGCGCTGTGCATCCAAGTGTGTATGCAATTCTACAGTGATGAGATTTAACGCTACATCCTGTGTGCCACGCATGGATAGAATTCATTCATCTTAAGAGGCTTCGTCTGTAGCTTTGCTCGGTATGTATGCCCTTCACTGAGCAAGTGAGTTTGGAGACACGTCTGTTCCATTCTCACCAACCACTCTGAAATGTGGGTGCCATTACCAATAATGTATTGTTATAAATGAAATACCCCGTATTTATTTGCGATGGTTTGCCAGAGCTACATTTATTCCCAGTAAAAATACCCAACCCCCCCCCCCCCCCATACAACGATGACTATTAACAATTCACACGTAAATACAGCTAATCAAGTCTCCGAAGCACCAACAAAAATAACCCTTGTATCTCAAAGAACTCTCGCACCCTCACCTGATTAAATCAAATCCACACTGGATTCGTATTAATTCCTCGCCGCCTCCCCGTGGATTTTGATCGCGACGCTCGCCCACGTCTCTGGGCTACCGCCCAGCGAAGTGCGGTGGCATTTGCCCTGGCAGCAACCGCTCCGAAATTTCCTCTAATAATGCGGGGATTTTTTGTTGTTATTGTTGTCTATGCTCGGTGAACATGCGGGGGAGGGGAGGGAATGAGGAAGCAGGAGGAGGAGGTGCTGCAGTGCACAATGAAAACTGCAGCCACTAAAAAAAAATCCCCTCCTCACCAGCCTCTCCCCTATCCGTTGTTTTTTTTTCGTGCCGTCCCGGGGCGTGACGTAAGCCGCTGGGCTGCGCTAAAGTGCCCTCTCCCTTCCCCTCCCTCCTTCCCTCCTCCTGCCTTTGGGTTATGTGCAGAGAGGCGAGAGAGGGAGAGAGACTGGTGGAGCTGGCGAGGTGTGGGAGTGCCTTTAGCTTGAATGTGAAACGCGTGCGCGCGTACCACCACCAACCAACCAGAAGTGCCCAAGGTAGAAATTTGCGCCGTCTCTTTCTGTGTCCCATCCCGCGCATCTCTTCACTGCCTCGTTAATGCTCCGTGTCTCTCTGCACCTTTCAAGTGCACTTCAAACAAAAACAAAAACAACATCAGCAGCAATTATCGCTACCGGAGAGAGCTTTCACTCAATTTGATATCATTTAATTTTCTATAAATTTCCTCGCAAGCTCACCCTCTCGCGCGTCGCTGACTCTCAATCCTTGCGTGGGAGAGGGCATCGACTTGCTGCAGGCGAGCCGGCGCTGGGTGATCGTGCCACTCCCGACTGCTGAACAACTCGGCTCCCATCGCCAATCATACCCGTGGGAAGAAGACACCGCGGCGCAATCAACAAGACCGGTAAGTTACAAACTACATGTTTACATCACGCACCGCGTGCTGCTGTATAAGCAGCGCGCTCCGACAGGAGTAAATATGCACAACTATGCACGTATTCCAGCATGCTGATTGCACAACGTGTATGCACTATTCGTATAAATCCATGAACCCAATGCGTGATAATAATTCGAATTAACGGCCCTTTGCCAATCCACTGGTGAATAATGACAGTGAGGCTTGTTTGACCATATTGCACCACGCTGGTCAGTGCCGGGTTGAGTTGAAGGAGGTGGTGGCCAGATGACATCGCACTCGCTTGTAATGTCATGGACGGGAATCCAACTCGGCTTGCGGGACTCTCATCGCAATGGCGCTCACCGCCGCACCACCGCTTCACCAACCCAATGCGCATGTTAGACGCAATCATAACTCAATGCAAAAATCAATCGTGGTGTATTCTTTTTGGAAGAAACCCCAAAAAGAGCAGGTAAGATGCATGTATATACATTCAGCATTTAACATGCAATATATGCAAATAGCATGTGAAGTAGCGTCAATATGTATCACTGGAGTGTGTTCATCACAATTGTGATTAACAACCGAATGAGAGCCTCTGGAATATATTTTTCAAGAGAGGGAGATCTGGGAAGAAGGTGGCAATTGAGAACATGTCAGGGTATCTGATACTGCATCGATAATTGTTTTGTGTGATGGGGAAAAAATCCCAACAAATGACCACGTACTGTGCTCATCTATTAATGTACATTGTGTAATCAATGTATGTATACGTTTGTATACAAAACAATCATGCACGTATACCCTCTTCACATGGAACATACATTATTAGACAGTGATCTGCAGTTTATTACAATATGCGTACATACGTATGTGCGTGCGTGCATTTGTACATGTGTTCAAATGTATATAAATATACATTTGTGTTGTTGTTGTTGTTGCCTTTCCCCTCCGCCCCTAAGGCTGCAGCGTTGCGTTGCGATGTATGCAATATGCCCTGCTCGACGAGCAGAGGTAAAAAAAAATTTAAGTGACAACCGCTGGCACTGGGTGGGCAAATGCTTCAGTGAGCTGAAGTGTCCACACATCGATGTCCCGAAAAATCCACCGCGTTCCGCGCGCACACAAAAAAAAGGTGGCAAGGCGAGGTCTTTAACGAAGGCGATTACTGGGAGTTTATAACGAGAGCGAAACCTCCCGTGATGCCACGGAATATCCAGGGATAATTATTAACAAGCGAGCACGCAAGGGGGCCTCGTTGCATTTAAAGGGCTGTGAGGACGGTGGCGTTAACTGCTGCTGCTGGTAGTGGCATAAAGCCTCATTAAACAGGTGGGCACGCGGTGGGTGGGGTGTGAAATACCACATAAAGACAAACATGTTCCCTGCAGTCACAACAGGATGTTGGGCCAAGTGCTGTTTGCGAGCACCTATTAAGGTTGGCACGGCACACGAGGGGTTGGATGGACAAAACCGCTCGCGGGCCGCCTTTGTATCGTCTGTGTTGATGCTTGCACACCGCACCAGGTGCCGAGTCGACCGAGGTTAAGGCCGACGACCGCGCTCAAATATTCGCCACGGTTATTTTACCGTGAGCTGGAATTGAACGTGACCACCGGTGTCGTGTACATGTGTTCATATAGTCCTGTACTGGCCCTTTGTCACTCCACTGCTCGATGTAGGACGCTCCCCACGCCTGTGCAGGTCGCGAGGGTGATTTTTGTTTTACCGTAGTCGATGACCATGCTGGCTTGTGCGGGTTTGTGAAAGGCGGGGGAGCAAAGACGCAGAAGCATAGAAGTACTGTGCAACAACGGGCTTCCCTGCACTGCCCTCTACTGCCCACCACGTACGGCCCAGCCTGCAAGCCCTACGGCAAACTGTTTGTGCATGGCGAGCACCCATCCAGGCACTATCAAGGCTAAATACCTGCTTAGCTTCCAAAATCGCGTGAGCAGATCCCGGGTGATTTAGCCACGGGCGCACGTGGCTTATACATGTCGAACGCATGCACGGCTATAATAAACACATAGGTGTAATATCTACCAACATTGTGCATATCCAGAGCACAATTATTCATAGCCAGACAATAAAACACACACGTGTATCATCTAACGTGTATCATGCATATTAAATTAGATGTATTCATGAAATGGCAAAGTCTTCCTTTCCACTCATTAAAATGTGGTGACATTGATTTAACGACTGTATTTTTCTTCTTGGTTCTTTCGGTAAAGTCACGTAGAAGGGAAGTAATAAAATAATAAAAATAAAACATAATAAAATAAAATAATTCTCACGACGTTTCGGCTACAACGCAAGCAGCCGTCTTCAGGTGAAGAATGAGACACTACCATTCTTCACCTGAAGACGGCTGCTTGCGTTGTAGCCGAAACGTCGTGAGAATTATTTTATTTTATTATGTTTTATTTTTATTATTTTATTACTTCCCTTCTACGTGACTTTACCGAAAGAACCAAGAAGATGAATCCCTGCAGTCACGAAAGCTTTAAATCGAAATTTGACTGTATTTTTATTCACCTAGCACTTTATACATTCAGTGAAGCACCGACTTTAAACTTTACTCATACAACACTTGTGTACTTACGATTGCATACATATTCAACATATACGTTCCATATAAATGTGATCAGCCTAAATCATGTACCTTGTATAATGGTTACTGATAACTGTGTAAAAACATGCTCATATATATAAAGACCAATATCTATAAAATCTAGAGACCAATGAATGAACACATACTGTACTATATATTATATGCACGCACTTATAAAAGACACACACCTAATCGTGCATACATAGTGGATGACTAAATCTTATACGCAGTGGCTGTAAAACACTTCCATGGCCCATTCCTATAAACACAAACCTACCTACATAGGCATGCGCATTTATAAATACATGCCTTTCCAGCTTGGTTACCGTATGGTCAAATAGCTCCTCATAATCCACACTGCGTGGCGAGACCTCGTGAAGCAGTGGATTGTCAAAGGGCTTGCTGTGCGTTCACACACACGCAGACGTGCACACTGACTCGTAAACGCACTCACGTGAAAAATTTACAGCTCCCTTTCAATCCACTGCCCTTCGTGCCCCCTCGGGCACGCGGGGGTTGCTTGACCTTACTTCACCAAACTGGTCAATGCGGGGGTTGGTGAAGGTTGGGGAGCTGGTGGCCAGGACCAGTTCCGATATCATTAGCCACACATAGACAATGAGTGTTCCCTTTCATCCTGCGTGTATACACTATTGAAGCAAGTGGCGTTAGTGAGAGCTCTAGTGATGAACTGGCAGGACGAGGTGGGACCACCACGCGATTGTTGTCCAGTGCCAGGTACTAATTTTGAGGCTGAGTCAACCGACAGGATGCTCAGTCCAGGCTCAATTGATTTATGTCACACACACACAGACAACGATTTCCCCATGTAGACATATAGATAGACCTACGAACCGTGGTGGCAGGTGCTGGTAGTCGGCACTCAAGCATGCCAGCACGGGACATGAGCAGGTGGTGTGGCCAGAACCATTCCAGTGCTGATGTTTATACACCGTAGTAGGCATTAATTTGAGTCAACTTGGGGCAGGCCCAGGACCAGATCAGATAATCACCACTGACGTTAACCATGACTGGGAATCGAACACAGGTTTCACACTCTTAGGTTTTTTCGGTAAAGTCACCGAAAAAACCTAAGAGTATGAATCCTTGCAGTCACGAAAGCTTTCAATCTAGAACGAACACAGGTCACCAGGTTCGTAGCGCAAGTTCGCTAACCACTCCGCCACCGCTCCCCACACTATTACAAAAAACAAAGACAAAATTCCCCCGTATAGCTGCAATAGACTGTTGGGCCAAGTGATGTCAGCGAGCACACTATTACACACACACACGTACCTTCATGCGCATCTATAAAGACACGCCCCTTTGTCAGTTTCTTGGCGAGCTCTTTTATTCTTGCAAATGCCAGTGAAGAGAGGCTGGTGTGGTGGGGCCAGCAACACAACCAGTTGCCAATTTCTCTCCATGACTGGCATCAATGCTAATTTTAGGCTGAGTCCACCTAGGGGAAGCCCATACAAGGGCGAGTGATTAATATGGATTGCTGCTAATGTGTTAGACTGGGAGTCAAACCAAGGTTTGTGTATTTATGGCCGATCAGCATTAACCCTGCATGCTCAACACGCTATAAACGCACTTCCTTATTAATATTTTCACACCACGTACATATTTATAGATACAAATACGCACACGAACACAGATGCACCATTGTTCGTAGCCAGAGTGTATTAAAGCCGGGTGCAGCAGCTGCAGTCCCTGTGTTTGTAGCGGCCGATAACCATTGCAGCTTAACCATTGCTACAGTCTACATTATAGACTGCCAGTACACTCACCAAACTTAATAACCAGGCTACAGTCCATATTATAGATTGCCAGTACACTCACTCCGATTAAGAACCAGGCTACAGTCTATATTAGTGTTTTTTTATTTTTTTTTTATTTTTATTCACTTTTTTTTTTTATCTACGTGGCTTTACCGAAAGAACCAAACAATTTGTAGCAGCCGGTTTCCAGCGCTATAGAACGTGCTGCCCATGTGGCTGCGACAGCATTGACTTGCTGCTGAAGGATGGATTCTGTTGCTCGCCTACGAACTCCTACAACTGTCGATTTTCTTCAATAACATCGCTTGCAATTGCATTTCACGCATATCCTTGTCCGTTTACATAATTGGTCCAATCGTCACCCTATATTCGTATAATTAATATGTAGATTGATTTGTCATTGCTGCTGTGAACATCTAAAGAATAATCTGTCCGCACTGAGAATGTATTATTTGACATTGATTCATGTTTGTGCAGAATTTTAGATTTCTCATGTGATACCATTGTTTGTTTGTACTGATTTCTATTTGTTTAATTGTTGTGTTTTATTTGCTTTTTGCCCCTGTCATTTTGGAGGCGAAGCTCACTCTTGCAAATGAGACTAT